CGGGCGTCCCCAACTCGGGCTTCACCCGGGGCAAGACTTGCCCTTGGGCTTCCTCGGGCTCGTGGGACCCGCCACCAAACTGGGCTACGGGCCCTGCGCTGGAGTGCACTCGGGCTGCGTCGGGCAGCCTTTCCCCCCTAGCCCGAAGAGCGCTGGAGATGCTCTTATGGTCGCCGCATTACCGTGGTCAACGAAAACCCCAGACTAGCATTTAGCCACGACTTTGTGTGTGCACCCTGCAAACCACAACCCCAGTGAAAAACAAAATAATCAAAACCCTAAGCCCCAGATGCTCAACCATCCCAAAGCCTGGTATCTACGATTCATTTGATTCAGGCAAAGGTAACTCTCTCTCACTCCCACTTTACACTCTACACTCTACACACGCGCGTCTTGTATATTTTTGCTTCAGATAAAGGTGAATCGTTATATATCTTTGTGTTTGTATGTATATTTGTGTGGGTGTGAAGTGAAACTGCAGCGGTTAAGCTTATATTCTCAATTATGACTAAAAAGATAAGAAGTTATTAACTTCTTGTCACCAAAAAGTTATTGGTGACAACAAGAGTTTTTTTTTTTCTCACTGATTTTCGTTCTATTATTTGAACGAATTTAACAAATTTTGAAGCTTGTAAGCATATAATTGTTGCTTATATTAAATATTGTAAGTATGACTTACTTAGAGAGCTTTTCGAGTCACCCGGCAGCTTGCTCTGACTAATTTGTTTTCCTTTTCGCTTTTTAATTTGTGATGTTTGTTAGTAGATCATGAGGCGCAAACAAGCCTGCAGGGGAAGGGGAAGGCCACGAAAGAAACCCAATGTGGTCAGTGAGAGAGTAGTAAGTGAGAGAATGGTTAATGAAAAATTGGTCAATGAGAAAGAAGTAGCATTCTTGAATTTTGTGAGTCAAAATGTTGAAGAAGGAAATGATATTGGGTGGAATCAATCTGATAACGAAGACCATAATGATGAGGAATTTGACCCTGAAATGGAGATTGATTCAGGTAATTCTTCTTCTTCTTCAATGGGGAGTGACTGGTTGTACGGGGATCAAAATGTGAGCTCCATGGATAGGACTGTGCAGAGATTGCTTAGGAAGTATGGTGAAGTGAATCTCCAGATGGAAAACTCATCCAAGAAGATTGACGGTGCACAAACTAAGCCATTGCAAGTCTTTGGTTCCTGGAGTAGATTCCAGAATGAGCAAGAGGCGCCTTCACATGATCCTTGCTGTAACAAAAAAGAATTAAACGCTTCTCTGGCGGTATGATGGAAATTTTGTAATTTTTTTCTGTTGTGACATTTTGGTTTTAGAATTAGGTGCTTGTGTAGTCTTTTATACATTCATAAGAAGGGACAAAATGTTTTTTGTTTGGGAAAAAACAATTGAAGTGCTTCTAACCAGGCATTTTGTTGCGATAGTTTTTCTGACCAGATTATGCCTAATGTGATTGAACTTACTGCTGTTCTCACCTTATAGGTTATTAAGAGGGTTATGAAAATGGATGCAGCTGTACCTTTCAACATTCCTGTGGATCCAATTGCTCTGAGATTACCAGTGAGTGTGATTTTCGATATGCATATTTTCTAAATATTTTTCTTGAGTGATAACATGATATGGTGATCGTTATGATGTACCAGTTTTTTTGCGGGCATCTAATAGGAGATTGCAGTTTCTTGCTTCAAGTTTATCGAGTTACTATGTCAAACTATGTCTTTTGGGGTACAAGCTTGACTAGCCACTAAACTTTTAAATTTAGTGGAAAAATGACTTGGTTGAATTCAAACATCATTTTGTTTTTGTAATAATGCTAGTCTTCTGCACTGACGTGTTTCATGTCAGTAACTCCTACCATATATATGGTATAGCTGTTTTATTTTGATGATCTTATTTTTAAATTTGATTCTCTTTTGGTCTGGACTAGAGAACAAAGATCTGTTATCACCTTATACGTATCAGTTCTGGTTTTAAGCTATACAAAGCGTATTTAATTAGGAACGAACTCTGCTTTGGTTTATGTCTATATATTGTCAGGTTTGCAATATCTGTTTGTGCTACGATTATCTGCTTTATTGCAATTTGCACTACACCCAGTCTTGGGTTATTTTTATTTACACACACATATGTGTGTTCATTTAAAAAGCCAGTCAAAAACCTGATTTGGTTTCATTTGAGTATATATATACACATCACTTTTGGTTATATATGTATTTGTATACATATATTATTCTACTTTGTCTATGTTGCAAAATATAAGTAATACCAAGTACCTACTGCATAGGACAAAGGTTACAAAGCCAGGGTCAACAGTACCAAAAATGACCCTCCATTAAAAGCCTGAAAAGAACTTAATTCTTGTCACAGATGCAATACTGTATTCTTGGAAGATATGGATATTCTATTGGTAAGTCTCCCTTTTTCATGTACACAAATATCTGCAAGTTAATACACATTGGGGTTCATATCCTGTTCTGGGGTCCTTGGGTTTACCTCAGTGGATGAGGTGCTTTGCCCCCTACCCTGACCCCATGACCCATGTTCAAAGCCCCTTGAGTGTGTGCCTCCTCCCCCTTATTGCTGTAACTCAAAATTTATCCCGTTCTGGGCACTCTGTAGCATATCATGTATTCAAAAAGGAAAAACGAAGCTTTATATTAACTGTAAGGTTTTAAGGTTCTATTATGCTTCCTGAATCAATAAGTTGGAATTATTGAATTCTTAGGATTTTTTGTTTAGCTGATCTAATCTCGGACGGATCCACAACTGACGTCATAGATGTCATATCTGTTCTGAAATGCATTGCTGCGTTCCTTTCATAATTCTTCTCTCCCTTATTGATTTATCTTCTACTTTCTCTGTCTTTTTTTCCCTTCTCTTGGGGTGATGACGGTTGGATCCAGGATTACTTTGATGTCATAGATACACCAATGGATTTTGGAACAATATGCAACCATCTTGAAAATGGTACTAAGTACACGAACTCGGAGGATGTATTCAAGGATGTCCAATACATTTGGAAGAACTGCTACAACTATTACAATGAGGGTAACTTTGTTTTGGACCTTATGAAAAGGGTGGAGGCGAAGTTCATGACGTATTGGATAGCTGCTGGTCTGTCCAGTAAAGAACCAGGGACAAGTAGCAGTAAGGGTTTCACATTACTTCTGTTTTGTTACTTTATTTTGATAGGTGATTTAAATAAACTTGTTATTCTTGGTGATAAATTTTCACTCGGGAGCCAGTGATATCAAGATTTTGACCGCCAATATAGATATAGAGGGTGAAACTGTCTTTCCTATTCCCCGATATTTCGCCGCTAATCAGCGACAATTAGCTGAAACTGAATGGAAGAAGAACAGATGAATTTCCACTCTATTCTGTGTTAAAATCATTTCCATCTTATACAAAAGTAACCTCGATCACAATATATGTAGTTAGAGTTTTACTTTCATATACATATCATATACTTATCTCAGGCGCACTATACTATGAAATTTATTTGTTTATTGCATGCATTAGTATATGATAGACAAAGTATATTATGAAATTTATTTGTTTAATACTTGCATAACACATTTATGATTGATTTAACATTTCTTAATGTTTCATTAAAATTTTCCATGTTTTAAAGCCGATATCTGTCGTTTTCATTGACAGTCCCTAATATTGGAAACTATACATAATATCGGTCGATATATCTGTATGTTTGAGTACGATATTGTTTGCATGGTTGATTATTTCATCCTTGGTTGCCCTTATATGTGGTTTGCCTTCTCAAATTTCATTTTGTCTTTGTTACTGTGCATTTCAGCATGGCCTCTTTTGATTCTGTGATCACCATCAAGAGTGAGGTTTTGCTCTTATTAACCAAAGAAAAGAATTCAAGAGTAGGTAACATATCAATTGGTAAAGTTCCCAAGATCCCAGTATGGTTGGGTTTGTTGTACAGGTACTGGGAGACAGCATGCTCCTATGCCAGTATGCAGTGCTTTTAGAGTACGCTTATTTGTTTGTTAATTGGGTTATAATTTTAATAGGATTACTTGGGTTTCTATGCACAGTATGAAAGAAAATCCATACCTGCATGCATAAACACTTACAAACAAATAGATTAAATTTTACTGAATATGTGAATCAGTGCACATTTCATCTTGACTTCTTGAGGTCTAAAATTGTTGGCAATTTTTCTTTAGTTTTAATCTTTTATTTTGTTTTCTATCTCATATATCTTAGATTTTTATCCTTTCTTTATTTGTTGACTAAGAAAATCTTCCTATAAAAATAAAAATAATTAAGAATATTCAACTGCTGAGTATTAGACAACGGATTGGAAAGACTTGTGATCTCGGGCTCATCGATAAACTATGCATTTCATACATACATTGACTTCAGTGAGTTTGAGCTCTGATAAGCATATCAATGAAATTGGAGGTGATGGAGCAGCTTTACAGTTGCATCAAGCACTTATCAAGGAAGACTATATGTATTGAATTGTTCTATAAAGTCCTCATAGGTCTCATGCTAGAATGATACCTGTGTTGTATTTAGTTGAACTCTTTAGTCATTGTGTGTTTCATGGTTGTGGTTTAGATCAAATATGTATTGGCTTTAATCAATTCTTCAACCTATGTGTGCATTCAGATATATCATTTCCTTTTGGTTGTAAAAGAAGCCAATAGAGAAACCATATTGTCTTTGATTAATTCTTTTTTCCACTGCCTTTAAGATCGCAGTATCTTCATAAATCTTTTGAACTTCTGTATGTACTATGTACCATTCTTCTAAGTTTTCATAATGTTGTTCTATAAAGATGATATTGTTTACTGCCAAATAAATTCTATATGTGAGTTTAATTTATTAAATAAATTGAATTTGAATCTGTTTAGGAAATTGGATTTTTTTTTCTTCTTGTAATTATTAACTAATCCATATATGCTTATATGTGTATTTCTCACTTATTTTCAAGACAAAGTAGAGGAGTTTCCATTGTACTGATGTATGAATGTTGAATATATATACTTCGAAACTCAAATTGACAGCAAATCTTTTAATTTTCCAGTACTTTAGTTCCTTAAGATGAGGTCTCCATATTATATTTTTTAATCATTAGTGTAGGTTACTTCTGGTTTCAATTTCGTTAAGTTTTGATTCAATTTTTTATATTTTTATAGTTTTAAGAAGCTCAAATGTGGGGAAAAGGAGGACACGAGGGCCCACCCGTAACCTTAAACTAGCTCAAATTCCGATTGGGGAAAGATTTGAAATCAGCTGGAGAAACCGGAGAGCTGTAGGTGATAGCTCCACAATTTTCAAATCAGAGTGTACAGCCCTGGTTAGGCAAACCAGGGAGCTACCCCTGCAGGTCAAGTCGTGGAAGAAAATCCCATTTGAGATTAAAAAGAAGGCATTTGAACATATGTTGGTTAGTACAACAAAAGATTTTGAAGGAAGTAGTTCACACTATACCTTTTAATTTTCATTTAAATCCTCAGTTTTGCATGTTTATTTTGTCATATTTCCTCATACATGTTCTCAGAAGCGTTTCAAAGTTGAAGATCACATGACATGGGTATTGGATCAGATTCATAGATCCTACCACAATTATCGGCATTACCTCAAGAAGATATGGTATGAAACATGTGAGACAACTGAGGAAGCACGGAAAAAAATACCACCAAATGTTGCGGAGGATGATTGGCAGTATCTTATAAACATGTGGAGCTCACCTGAATGGGAGGTACCAAAAAAATGTTGCATATAAAAAGAAAATATTGAGGGGAAAGAAAATCAAGAAACTTCACATTTTTTCCTATTTTCCTTTCAGTTATCTGTTTTGCCTTGGATTTTTTTTTTAATACATTCATAGTCTTCCTTGAATGCAGTCAATTAGTAAGAAAAATGTGGAGAATCGTTCCAAAAATAACATAATCCACACATCTGGTTCCAAGAGTTTCTCACAAATCCTCGAGGAAGAGGTCTGACCTGAGCTATTCACTTCTTGAGTAATATTTTACTGTGTTCGTCACCATTCTTAGTTTTTTTGTTCGTGCAATTGCAGAGAAAGAAGACTGGAAATGACCCTGGACGTACATTTCTATGGGAACTTACCCACGTGCGGCCTGATGGACTAGCTGCAAATCCAGCTTCACAGGAGGCATTGGTATATATTGATCCCGAAATTAAATTGGATATGCAAGCTTACCTAATTGTCAGTTATATAGTTTTGGTTCTCAAATTTTTTTAATTTTTTCATTGTACATTGTGGTTTCATTTTCTGAATGCAGTCAAAGCTCAAGAAACTTTATACTCAAATGTCTGTGCAGAACTCACAGATGACTGAAGACGAGATTTTTGTAAAGGTTTTTGGACCTGAGCGTTCGAGTCGGGTGCGTGGTTATGGAAATGGTGTAACCCCAAAAGAGTTATGGGGCCCATCATCTTCATCATCATCTACTCTTAGTGAGCTCAGAAGGCAACTTGAGGAATCAAAGCAGCGACAAGAGGAGTCTGAACAAAGAAGTGCTGCTGAGGTACAGGGCTTGAAAGAGCAACTTGGTCGGGTTGAGGGTTTGCTATCAGTTCAAATGAATCGGTTTGAAGGTTTACTGGTACAGTTGACGAGTCATATGCACTCCCCGGCCCAAATTGAGAGACGTACTGAAAATCCACCCTCCCGAAATGGTATGCATCTTTGAATACTTACTTTATACAGAATTATCATATAGGGGTTTTGGAAAAATGGAATTACAATCTTTGAACAATTTATATTGAAGTACGACTCATTTGAATTGAGAATTCTGCATTTGTCTTGTTTGGTGAAAGACTGATAGGGAAAAATATGGGTCAGGCACCACAATATATCACTGTTTCATAATTCTTCATTGAGAAAGAAGTATACCCAATGCTGGTGCCTCAATCAAGGTTGAGTTTATGTGTGTTTTTTTTTTCAATGACCTCTTGTGATAAAAAAAAGCCTTTCAAGTTTATTATTGTGGTTATGGTACTCTGTTTATGTGTGGATAGGGACCTAAAATTCTGGCTTCAGATTTTTATTTTATAATTTTACAACCATCATAGCTATTTTGTACTAATAGCTATGGGTCCATGGGTAACTCATGCTCCTAGTTTGTGGAATCAGTGAGAGGGGTGGTAGGTGTAATTTTATCATTTTCCACTGCTTGCTTCCTCTTGTGTAATTAAAAATGGAAAACTTTCAGTTTCTGATTTGGTTTAACAAATACCAAAGTTTGCGTCAGCATGTGATGTTACTGCACGTTGTTTGTAATATCCCAAATGCATTGTGCTACATCTCCATAGAGAAATTTTATGCGTTGTGTTTACTCTTTGTTGTCTTTAGCACTGTGCTGTGTCTAAACTGTATGAAGATTTGTCCCTATTGTCCCGTGAAGTCAAATGGAAGCAAGAATGCCACTTGTTTCTTCTGTATGCACCCTCGAGTTAGTTCCATGTTATTTCACTTGATCAGCGTTAAAAATATATGGTCATTTTAATAGAAATTGTCTGTTTCCTTGCTAATGTCCTACTCGTTTGTTTGGAGGTGTGTGAATTTTTAAATACACAATAGGTATTATTTGATCAAATTACTGCTGATTTCCCGTAAAGTCATTTGATTAGCTGTGAAAAATGAATATCAATGTTATTGCTTCTTTTGTCCATTTCGTTTAATGTTGAACTCTGGCATTGCTCTTAGCTGAACTCTGGCATTGCTCTTGGTTGAACGCCCTTTGGTCTCTGGCATTGCTCTTAGTTGAACGCCCTTTGGTCCAATTTTGGTGTTGGATGTTGTAACTGTTCTGTTTGTTCTCTTTCAGGCCGCCCACGAATGACCCGACCTAGAAAATGAAGTTCATATCAGCTATGTTTATGTTTTGTCTTCCGGCAAGAAGTTGATAGTAATATATTTGGTTGATACTGTATTATGTTACATTTGATGCATCAAATGTGCTTTGTGAACTACATGGACGTATGTTCAACTAGGAACTGATAAACTGAAGGGATGACACGTTCAACTCGTAACTGATAAACTGTGATCGTTCCAGTGAAGTTTTTGTTTTTGTTTTTTTCTCAAGTTGTACTATTTTATTCTATAACACGTTTTTTAAAATTTAAAAAAAAAAAAAAAAATTAATGTAGTGTGCATGTCAAGTGACACAAAGGGGTGGCAATTTCTGATACGACCCATTACACGATTCGAAATCTGCACAATAAAAACTCTGGTAATTTTCTGGTCAACTTGTTATGACCCGTATAATAAACAAGTCGTGTCAACTCATGTAATACTTGCCAATCCGCTAAAAAATGAAAGGAAATCAAGACTAAAGAGTGCACAAAAAGGATTTTAAACCTGTCATTTTCATTCCTTTCCAACACTTATATCTGCTATGCTACAAATAATTTTGAGATTATATCTAACACCATTTGAAATTTATAATGTTTTCACAAGTTGTTTTCCAAAGTAAATTTTTCTTTTTTGGGTCTGGACAAAGAAGTAGAATTTCACATGTATATAATTTGATATTTATATTTAGAACAATTATATGCTTAACTATTTTAGTTATTTCACATGTTTCTTTGCGCATCACGATCAATTTTCACATTATTGTGATCATGGGAAAATTCTTTACTTTTTCCAATCAACAAAAAAAAAATTTTTTTTTTTTTTTTTTTCCTCTTAAGTTCTCATATCAACATCATCAATCCCACTCTCTCTCTTTGGTTTCTCCTACTGAAAAAACAATTGACGGAGTTGTTCAAAACCGAATTCCACTGGTTACAGTTGCTACCACTTATTATTAAACAGGTTATTAACTAGGTAACCTGTTTAATAATCTGTTTAAGACGACCCGAATTCTACCCGACATGTTTATTAAATGGGTTTAGTTCGAGTTAAGTATTCTTGACACGTTTATTATCCTGACATAACATTAACCCAACACGACACGACTCATTACTAACTCTAGCCACGATGATTGGGAAACAAAAAACAGATTATGCATTTTCCTTTTTTTGGGGTGTAAATTATTGACTACAAACAATAGTTCCAAAAACAGTTTTTTCCTATTCACGATTGGGTCCATTCCCCTTTGGATTTTGGCTGTCCTCATCATCATCAGATTCTTTATTTGTCTATTAGAATCTCATCGTTGGAGGGTGAAGTGTCGAGGCGGGTAACCCCATCAGGTGGCCACATGGAAGCTTGGTGGACGAACTTAATGAAATGTCCCAATCAAGTTGCTCAACAGCTTCATCATGCGCTTCATTGTTATTAGGGTTAATTTCAATTTAGTACCCTTAATTTTTATCATTGAGGTATGTTTGTTCCTACATTCTCAATTTTAACAATTACATACCTTAAGTTTTTCAATTTTTTACAATTTAGTTCCAACGTTAGCCTTACCGTTAGAATTTCCGTTAATTGTTGAGGTGGCATATGTGGGATCCAACTTCTTAAACTTAAATTGTTTAAAATATAAATAAAACATCAAAATATCTTAAACTTAAATTGAATTAACCTTTATTTTTAATGACCTGGTCAAAAAGATGCTGTATTGAGCTAGGTCTTTATTTTTAAAATAAAAAATGATTTTTTTTTTCTCATCCCTCACGCCACCAGCCAGCCAGACAGAGAATCCCCCTAAAAATCCCTTGAATCTATAAAGAATCCATGCTGCTATCCGGAATGAATCTGAAATGAAAAAGACTTTTTTGTTTTTTTGGTGCAGGAATGAAAAAGACTTAACTTTAAAGAATTCACACCCTTATTCGTTCTTTAAGGTGCCAATAAATTAACCTAACATATCCAAAGCCTACACAGAAAATAATCCTCAAAGAATTCCACGAAGAAAACCAACCTTCAGACTCAGAAACCCAATACCAAAGCTATCAAACTAACCTATAGCTGAATTTGTACCAAAATCAGAATATTCGATCCAAGAAATGAATAAAATTTAAGAGAAAAAACATATAAGAAAAATAAACCCCAAAAAAAAAAAAACTTACATAATAATTGTGGTTGTGGGTGGGGATATGATTTCTCACTGTGGTTGTCTAACTGTGGCTCTGTTTTGGTCAATTCTGTCTAATCGAAGTGACAGAGATTATATTTCCAACAAAGCTGTGATGATGGAGTGGCTAGTGGAGTGGAGTGTGTTCGATTTGGTTCAAATGGACGGTTTGATTTGATCTGTTTTGCAATATTTTCTTTTGTTCATTTGATTATTGTCCCAATTAGTGTTCCAGTTTTTCAAATTTCCATTTACGTATACGCTTTGAATTCTAATTCATGAACGTTCAAAATCACTTGAAGAAGACATGATGGCGATGTGCAGCAGGATTGTTGCTTCACTCTCCTTCCAAGCTCATAGGGAGGAAGTTTTTACCCACAATCTTAAACTTCGTTATTGTATTTGATAATGAGAAAGTCACGATGATATCATTTTTTTTCTCATCACTTTAACCCAATGTGCATTCTCACCATCATTCTCAACATTTCACACGTATTTATTGATATAATTATTGTTCCATAAGTACGTACGCACTCCCTCTATATAAACCCAAGCAATGTGTGGCAGGGAGAGAGCCACCAAAAACCCTCCAAGCTTTTCTTTCTTTTTCATAGTCACTTATGGCAGTGCATTTAGGCTCTTTGGTCTTATCTCTGGTGCTACTCGTTGGCTTTGCATTTACAAATAGCAAAGCTGCTAATACAGATGATCTACCCATTCATTGTGACTCTCTCAATAGGAGCAGTTTCGATGCTCTCCAACCAGGGTTCATATTTGGCACAACCTCGGCAGCTTATCAGGTCAGTTCCTTCTTGGGCCTTAATTAATAATTACCCTTTAATTGGTGTTTTATATATAACTACTTGGGTTTAATTTCAGTTTAATGTCAGATCAATTAGCTTCCAGGGCTATTCATTTTATTAGTCCTTGAAGTTGAAGGACGACATGAATGATTTTGGAAATTGAGAGACTCAAATGCAAATCGGGTCTAAATTCAAGGACCAATAAAACGAATAACCCTAGCTTCCACATGCATGCATGAATATTTACATCTTAATTCTGTATTTACTATGCATGTCCATTTCAGTACGAAGGTGCCGTAAAAGAAGGCGGTAGAGGACCAAGTATATGGGATACCTACACCCACAACCATTCAGGTCTGTCTAATCGAACAAAGAATTAGTCAAAATAAGATGACTTCAAAAAGTCTTGATGCATTGAGTTCAATATATCGTGCACGTAATTGAGTCATGAATTGAAAAAAAACTTTATCGCATATACATCGTAGTGTGCTTGAAATAATTGTTTGGATCTCTATGATTTAAATAATTAATTTTCAATGTACAAATACAGAAAGGATCGTGGATGGCAGTAATGGAGATGTCACTGTTGATCAATATCACCGCTATAAGGTTATAATTTTATCCCTAGACCTTCTTTACTTGAAGTGGAAGGGCACATTGTGTACATACTCAGTTTTGGATCCTTGAGAAAACATATGACATTGAAGATGAGATCTTTAACTTGTAGCTTATTTCTTATATAGGAAGATGTGGTGATTATGAAGAATACGGGATTGGATGCTTATAGGTTTTCTATCTCATGGTCCAATTTATTACCAAGTAGGTTGATTCATCCTCAATATTATACATAACAATTCTTTTTTTGCTACAACAGTTGCTCCCTTTATTTTGTTCTCAATTAAAATAATTGATCACTGAAATAACTGAACCGAATTAAATTTGCTATAGTAAGGCCATGAATTAATATACAGTTTAACAATTTTACTGTTTGTAGATTGGGTTTCCTTATTTGTTGTATTTTTGTTTTTAATATTAGATGGAAAGCTAAGTGGGGGCGTGAATGAGGATGGAATCAAATATTACAACAATCTTATCAATGAACTCCTACTTAAAGGCGAGTCATCTCACCTTACATGATTAATGATTGATACTTCAACCCCTTAAAACATCATTTAGTCAAAGTTTTAATTGGCTTTTATTCATGATATATATATACATACATATATATAGGTCTAAAACCATTTGTGACAATCTTTCATTGGGATCTTCCACAAGCTTTAGAAGACGAATATGGTGGTTTCTTAAGCCCTAATATTGTGTGAGTGAACAAATTCTATCCTCAATATATAATATTGATTATTTAATTAAATACATATTACAATAACATCTACATACCATATACAGCGATCATTTTAGAGACTATGCAGAACTTTGTTTTAAGGAATTTGGCGATCGAGTAAAACACTGGATCACGATGAATGAGCCATATACCGTTAGTCACCATGGTTATGCAATCGGGTGCCACGCACCGGGACGATGCTCTACTTGGCAAAACCTAAATTGCACCGGTGGAAATTCGGCTACTGAACCATATTTGGTGACACACCATCAACTCCTTGCTCATGCAGCTGTTGTAAGATTGTATAAAGATGAATATCAGGTCCAATTAAATCTTTTATTTATTTATGAACATTGCGGTCCTAATTGAAAATATTTCTCACTCTAAATCATTTCAAAAATTATTGAATTTTCTTGCATAGGCAGTTCAAAATGGCTCGATAGGAATAACATTGGCTTCACACTGGTTTGAGCCTGCTTCAGAGGCAACAAAAGATATAAATGCTGCATTTCGATCTTTGGATTTTATGTTTGGATGGCAAGTATAATGTTAATTTATATATCTACTAAATTAAATGTTTTATTTATGAATTTAGGTATTGTGTAGGTGTATGGACCCATTGTCCACTGGTGACTATCCGCACAGCATGAGGTCACTTGTTGGAGAACGATTACCAAAATTCACAGAAGAACAATCCAAGTTGCTAAATGGGTCATTTGATTTTATTGGAATAAATTACTACACTGCTAGATATTCAAGTGATGCATCTGATATTATTTATGTACATACAAGCTACTTAACAGATCCTCACGTTAATGCTACAAGTGAGTTCAAATTGAATACTTACCTTGAGCAATGAATTAAATTCTTAGAATAATTAGATTCTAATATTCATATGCATATGTGTTTTGACAGC